TTTTAGAAGACGTTTTTCATATGAAAGTAGTTTATATCCTAAATTTCAAGATGTTCTAAAGAAAAGCAATACAAATAAAACAATTTTAAAAGTAATATTAAAGTCTCCTTCAATTAGTGATAATGAAGATTATCAATTGTACGATACTGACAGTGATGAGGATATAGAAGAATTAGGGCAAAAAATATTAACCTTAGAAATTACAAATAATGAACTTCAAAATGATTATAAGCATAAGACAAATAAATCATATAATAATTCAACAACAGAAAGAGATAATATTCAATGCATTCAAAGTGATACTTATAATATAGAAAATACGGAAACTTCATGCGGGACAAAATTTATGGCTAAAAAGAGAATACGTTCAGAATTACTAAAGTGTGCAAAAAGAATGGAAAATAAGAAAAATCTTAAGAAAGCTACCACGTCATCAAAGAGTAGGAAAGAAAATAAATGTATTGGAAAAGAATACATTGGACTCTGGGGAAACGATTAAAGGAAAAATATTTTCAAAGCTTCTATACAATTTTATATATAGTGTAAGACTTCAGTGATTCATTTAATTCTTTTTAATGAATGAATTATAATAAAGAAACATCATGTGCAAATAATTGGATAATATAATGTAAATAATAATTAAAGAAAAGTTTTTGTTGCAACGTATATTACTAAATTATAGAATATCCAATTTTTATAAATTACATAAAATATTTTATTAATAAAAAAAGAAAAGTTTGATTAATATTCAATAAAATAAAGATTAACAAATACTTTTTAACTATTTATATTTAAAAGCTATTAAGAGGAAATTTTGAAAACATTTTTTTAACAAAAGCAAATTGCAATATATGTAAATGTTAGAATTATTAATGATACTAATTCAGACAAATAAAACAAAATTATTATTGCATATTAAAAGATTATCACAATACAGGTCCCATACATATAATTATTAATATATCTATTATATTACATCTGTCATAAAATATATTTCCACAAATGTAAGTACTCAGAATATTCATTTATGTGTATAGGATAAATTCTACATAATTAAGTCTTATTACTAATTTTTATAAATTCATCACTAATTTTAAGTAGATGTATTTGTTTTAATTAAAAAATTAATGAAGAAAAAATTGAAATAAAAAATAAATAAATAAAAAAAATTACAGCCTCAACTGTCCCGAATAAATTGAATAATGTCCATGTATAAAAATTCTTCGTTAATTATTAATATATAAGACAATCATGCCATCATGATTCTGTTAAAATATTATAATTTAGAGTGACCACAGAACAAAGATCTCGCTCTCATTAATGAATAATACTGATTCTGTGCAAAATATAAATTGATGAATAAAAAAGTCATTGCTCATGTAAAATAAACATCCTATAAATGTATTATATATATAAATGCATGTAATATCAAAGTAGGAAAGGAAAACTGGTAATTATATTGTACTAGATGTTAGTTGACCCAACTATTTCAAAATACAATGTAAATTGCAGATAAAGAGAGTAAGCAGAATAAGTAGTTGCAAAATATATGAAAATTTTTATCGACTCCATTATAGCTATAAAAAATAGTCTTGTTCTCCTTCTTGCCTTTTTCTTATTTTGATTTTCATACACTTCTAATATAAATCAATCAAGAATTTTGCTTTACTAAGAGACGTAAAGTGCTTTTTTAAAACATTTGGACAACATTAGCCGGTGACAATATTTAGCAATTATGTTATAAATATATTTAAACATTTTTCTATTTTAATAATTTTCTCAGTGAAACTTCTAATAAAATACACAAATTATTTATCGAATAATAACTCATACAATGCTCATTAAGAAAACTAACTTAAAAATAACAAAAAGATTTTTTAATATTTATTATTTATTGTTATATGATAAATGAAATGCACTCGTAGGCAATTTTTTATATATTAAATAAATAAAATTACAATTTTGAGAATTACATTTTAAAGTAATTATGTAGATTCGTATATTTTGATATCTAATGGCGCATGCATATAATATATGTAACTTTTTAAATCACATCATAAGAATTATTAACTTTTCTTTTTTTATACTTTTTATGATAAAACCAAACGCAGCTACATTCTACCGAATACAGCGCTATTATAAATTACTAAATTTCATTATGATTTAAAAATTTATGATGAAAATTTTAAACTTCGAAACTTGAATTAAAATTGTTTTTGAATAAAATTAGAACAAATTTAACTAATGGCAGGGATAAATCGAGCAAATTACAATTTATCCGTAATAGTATTATAATTGTTGTTTAATTTACATTGTTAAATATCGATATTCAGCTGATTTCGATTTCATATCGGGCTCTGTATTCGTTGGTCATTGTGATATTTTCTTAGAGGTTACAGTGTTTAATAAATAATTGATTAATATTAAGATATAGTACATATTTAAACATTAAAATATTGTTTGAACTCTGAATCTCCTCGCTATAAAGTAAATGAACTAATATGATAATATTTATACTTTTATATTAACACTCGTACAAATCTTGATCGTATTCATTTAAGATGAAAATATTACATAATTTTCATAAATTTTTTTAAACTATATATAATGTAACACTTTCATTAGTAATGTCTTGCATTAAAAAATTATTCAATAAATGTTTTAATATTAAAAGCAAGCAATATTTGAGAATAAGCAAATGTTAATTCTTGAAATTAAAAATCTTCCTTCATTCATGATCTATAACTATTATATTTAACAATTCACAATTTGAAGGTATCAAATTTCTCCAACATTCAAATATATTTGTTATTATCAATAAAATAAAACTTTAAGATTAAATATCTTGTAAATTAATAAAGTAAAGAAATTATTAATTTTCTCTATGCATACAAATCTATTATCTTATATAATATAAAAAAATAACGTATAAATATTTAATAAAATTTAATCTATTGTAACTCTTATTACTTGTAAAGTTATATATATATATATATATATATATATATGCACACACACACACGCATGCACACACACATGTATATATTAATTTTATGTTTTATTTTGATACTAAGAATTATAATACACAGATGGGTGATAAAATAAAAAGACCAAAAATGAGAGGATTTTATCTGCCGTTGGCTATATATCAAGCTTTTTTAGTTCTTCTGGGACCTGTACCATTTGCAGGATGTTTGACAGCCATAACAGTTATAAAACATAGAAATTCTAGAAAATATACTTTGTAATATTATTTGAATAATTTATTTAATATTTTATAAATTTTATGTACTTTATTATTTAATGAATTTTCTTATTTTAGCTCTTACGATTATGAGGAGAAATTAAAACAAGTATGTGAATCAGGTTATATGCAGTCTTGTGGTCCGAATGTAAACTGTTAAATTGAATGTAAATATTTGTCATGTAGTTATTTCAAAATATAAATCACATCTACTATTATCTAATGATGTAATAAATGATAAATTTTAATAATAAAGTAAAAGTCTTACAAGCTTTAACTTTTATTTTAAATAATTCTTATGAATTAAAGCTATTTTTAATTTTATCACTATATTCTATATTTCATAGTATCTGTGAAATATGTTTCATTGCTGAAGAATATTTTAATTTTTCATTCAGTTCACAAGAAGCTTTGATGTTAATTTAAATTTTATATGGATATTATAAAATGTATAAAAGGAAAAATATTATTAAAAAAGATTGCTTCAATTAATTCATGTAAAAAATTTATTTTATTTGTATTAAGAAATTAATAGGTATCATTATATATTTATTAAATGAAAAGTAAAGAAAATTACAATAATTATCAATATTTATTCGAACGTGGATATAGACTCCTCTTGTTTTCTATCAATTTCAATTTTATATGAAATAATCATATATCGGTAATAGAAAAATTTTCAATTGAAATTTTTTTATCATTGTATCGCATTTATAGGATTAGAAAATACGTATATCTATTAATTTCTTTTCTTGGGGTATATGATTTTTTTAAGAAATTTTTAAAATCTTTATATATCCTTAAATACCTTGATGTTATATATATATCTGTACCAATGTAATTAAATGTTTTGTTTATAAATAAATAAATTGCATGTAGCGCAAATAAATTTATTATTATTTGTAAATATATAGAACATGAATTATTTCCTACACTACTAATTTATTATATTGGGAAATTATGTATTAGTCTTAAAGTATTCTTATCACTTATTTATATTCATGATATCATTATTTTACTTTTTATACTGTTCATGAATTTTTTTGAAACTCAATAACTATTTTATATTATTGTTTTATTGTTAACATAACATATTGCGAATGAAAGATAGACGAATAGCTAAAAAAAAATATTTTTTATGAATGCAACCTATGTTCAAGGAGTTAGCACATTATAGGGTTTTCTATTTGTGTTTTAATAACAATATTTTACATTGCAATCGGTTTTCAATATTATAAAATAAAATCTAACGATTTAAAGTAATCATAAATGTATTGGTGATGATAAATAAGTTTTCTATATTAATAATTTGATGGATTAGAAAAATTTCCAACAGCCAGACAAGCATTAACGTAGTTGTTTTGAATAATTTTAATAAAACAATATCAGTAATTTAAATATCGTAGTATTAATCTACCCAAGAAGATGGAATTTAACTTGTCCGGAGTGATGTTTATTGAGAATAAGAAAAATAAAGTTTATAGATTTTTTGTGATCCTTACTTAAGATGATTTATGTGATTATACGATTAACGATTAAAGTTAACATTATGCATTAGGTAATTACTATTCATTGTCTTTTAGATTAAAATCTTATACATATTTTTGTACTGGAATTTGAAGAGAAGTGATGTAGTAGAATTTCTTAATCAATGTTACATACTTAAATAAGCCTAGCCAACTATGAATTTATTTTTAATTATTATATAATATAATATAAGTAATATAATGAGTTTGTATTTTTCTGTATATCAGCAACTTATTAGTAATTTTGAACTGTTCTACATGCTGCTATTTATTACTCCATACTTATATTCATGTAACAGTTATGTTTGGATCAGTAATATTGTTAATATTTTGTTTAAATATTACTCTTAATTATTCATAAAAGTATAACGAAAGAAAATCCTATTAATAACCAAAAACTTATAAATACGCGAATGAATGTACTAAATGCATAACAAGGAACTTTTCCTAAAATTTGATTTATTATATTTAATAATATTAAATAGCCTTTGAAATAATGCACAAATAATTTTAAAATAGAAAAAAATTGTAGAACCATATAAAATTAAGTCTTTTAATTATTATTTCATTTATAAAGTTAAAAAATTACCTATTAAAATTGCTCATCGTTATTATGTTAAATTATAATTATATTCTAAAATTTAATTATTGAATAATATAACTGCTATGGTTTATGTAATTGTTGTAGGAATATTATATATAGGATATGAATTTAATTATTAATATGAAATTGCTATATTAAATAAATGTAAATACTAGATTCTACATTACCATAATGATACATTATAATCTAAAAAAATATAATTTATATATAATGTGGTTAATTTAGTATTTGTTAAAAGTTCATTTCAAAGTATTCAAAAGTCTTTGGTTTTATCATATTTTGTTAGTAAATAATTAATTGTAGCTATTTTATAAAATATATTTATTGAATATCATTTCATATTTTGTATAAATAGTGATATTAATGATGCAATACATAAAATATACTAATAAATTAATAATCGATAAATAAAATTACATTAACAATTTATTCGTATCCTTGAAGATATAGAGAAACATAAAAAATAGTTAGTCAGTCGCAATTAATAATTCGTTATTAAATCAAAAGAATGATTATTAATAAATATTCAAAATTATTAAATTAAAAATTTTTTTTACATAAATTAAAGTTTTGAGAAAACCAACGATCACTATAAATATATAAAAGATTATTGCGTTGTTAAGAATAAAGATTAAATATTATTCATGAACTGAATACTGTATTTTGAACTATGTGGATATTCTAAATATATTAGACACTGTAAAATACACTGTACCTAGACATATGCTTACGCCTAAGTAAAGTTTGCATATTTTTAATTAAAAAAATATTAGATACAATAATATATGAAATTTGAATATTATTCCCGCAAAAGAAATTATAAGAATATTTATAAGAATTGATGTTAAATTAAAATTAAATTTATATAATTAGAATAAATTTTATGTTTATAATGTATTATAGATAAAACAATAAGAATAAAATCTGCAAATCAGGAATATTCTTTTCCAGGTAATACAAATAATTAAATTTTCTGGCGATTTGAGAGCTACGACATCCATTTATCTAGTTTTCTTATTCATTACGTTACAGATCAGAGAAAGTGGGACTTGAAAATCAAGTACTACTACATATGATTGGATATAATAATGGTACATTATATTGGAGGAAACACGATTAAAAACTCTTACCCAAAAACTAATTGTATATGAATGCAAGACAGGAAAATTCCACAGAATAATCTAACTTTTTGAACAGTAAAAACCTATATACAGAAGAAATATTAGATAACTTCAAGTTCAGAATTAGTGATAAATCCAATGCCATAAGTAAATTCCAATAAATTAAATTAGACTATTTCAAATAATTTTTATCCATTACAATAGTATAATAAATATTATTTTTTATAGGGCTTTTAAGTAATGTTCAATTTGGTATGTATAAGATAATAAAACTCTTACATAGCTATAAATTATTTTACTACATCATAACTAAATTCAAGATAGAACTATTTGACCATTCAAGAAATAGTTATACAAATGTTATAAAAGCAATTTTAATCAAATAAAAAAAATCCATTGCTTATTTAGTATATTACTATAAATTAATCATGGGAAAACTAGATGTGAAAGTTATGCGTTATCTTACCAAAGAAGATTTTCGTATTTTAACAGCAATTGAAATGGGTATGAAAAATCATGAGTTAGTACCTGAAGTACTAGTTGCACAAATTGCAAATTTACGTCATGGAGGACTGCATAAAATATTAAAAGAGCTATGTAAGCATCGGTTATTAAGTTATGAAACAACAAAACATTATCAGGGTTATAGATTGACAAATACTGGTTATGATTATTTGGCTTTAAAAACCTTGACAGCACGGGAAATAATCGATTCTTTTGGAAATCAAATAGGTGTTGGAAAAGAATCAAATATATATGTTGTTTCAAATAAAAATGAGATTGCTTATTGTCTGAAATTGCACAGATTGGGTAGAATATGTTTTCGAAAGGTTAAGGCTAAAAGAGATTATTATCAACATAGAAAGTACATGTCATGGCTTTATTTGTCAAGAATATCTGCCACAAAAGAATTTACTTTTATGAAAGCCCTCCATAACAGAGGATTTCCTGTACCTATGCCTATAGATTTCAATCGTCACTGTGTTATAATGGAACTTATAGATGGTGTACCTCTTTGTAACATTCATGAAGTTAAAAATATTGAAAAATTATATGATACTCTAATGAACATCATTTGTAAACTAGCACACTGTGGTGTTATTCATGGAGATTTTAATGAATTCAATATCATGCTTAAGCCTGATGAAAAACCTATTATTATTGATTTTCCACAAATGATATCAACTGATCATGATGAAGCTGAATTATATTTTAGTCGAGATGTTCATTGTATTCAACAATTTTTTAGAAGACGTTTTTCATATGAAAGTAGTTTATATCCTAAATTTCAAGATGTTCTAAAGAAAAGCAATACAAATAAAACAATTTTAAAAGTAATATTAAAGTCTCCTTCAATTAGTGATAATGAAGATTATCAATTGTACGATACTGACAGTGATGAGGATATAGAAGAATTAGGGCAAAAAATATTAACCTTAGAAATTACAAATAATGAACTTCAAAATGATTATAAGCATAAGACAAATAAATCATATAATAATTCAACAACAGAAAGAGATAATATTCAATGCATTCAAAGTGATACTTATAATATAGAAAATACGGAAACTTCATGCGGGACAAAATTTATGGCTAAAAAGAGAATACGTTCAGAATTACTAAAGTGTGCAAAAAGAATGGAAAATAAGAAAAATCTTAAGAAAGCTACCACGTCATCAAAGAGTAGGAAAGAAAATAAATGTATTGGAAAAGAATACATTGGACTCTGGGGAAACGATTAAAGGAAAAATATTTTCAAAGCTTCTATACAATTTTATATATAGTGTAAGACTTCAGTGATTCATTTAATTCTTTTTAATGAATGAATTATAATAAAGAAACATCATGTGCAAATAATTGGATAATATAATGTAAATAATAATTAAAGAAAAGTTTTTGTTGCAACGTATATTACTAAATTATAGAATATCCAATTTTTATAAATTACATAAAATATTTTATTAATAAAAAAAGAAAAGTTTGATTAATATTCAATAAAATAAAGATTAACAAATACTTTTTAACTATTTATATTTAAAAGCTATTAAGAGGAAATTTTGAAAACATTTTTTTAACAAAAGCAAATTGCAATATATGTAAATGTTAGAATTATTAATGATACTAATTCAGACAAATAAAACAAAATTATTATTGCATATTAAAAGATTATCACAATACAGGTCCCATACATATAATTATTAATATATCTATTATATTACATCTGTCATAAAATATATTTCCACAAATGTAAGTACTCAGAATATTCATTTATGTGTATAGGATAAATTCTACATAATTAAGTCTTATTACTAATTTTTATAAATTCATCACTAATTTTAAGTAGATGTATTTGTTTTAATTAAAAAATTAATGAAGAAAAAATTGAAATAAAAAATAAATAAATAAAAAAAATTACAGCCTCAACTGTCCCGAATAAATTGAATAATGTCCATGTATAAAAATTCTTCGTTAATTATTAATATATAAGACAATCATGCCATCATGATTCTGTTAAAATATTATAATTTAGAGTGACCACAGAACAAAGATCTCGCTCTCATTAATGAATAATACTGATTCTGTGCAAAATATAAATTGATGAATAAAAAAGTCATTGCTCATGTAAAATAAACATCCTATAAATGTATTATATATATAAATGCATGTAATATCAAAGTAGGAAAGGAAAACTGGTAATTATATTGTACTAGATGTTAGTTGACCCAACTATTTCAAAATACAATGTAAATTGCAGATAAAGAGAGTAAGCAGAATAAGTAGTTGCAAAATATATGAAAATTTTTATCGACTCCATTATAGCTATAAAAAATAGTCTTGTTCTCCTTCTTGCCTTTTTCTTATTTTGATTTTCATACACTTCTAATATAAATCAATCAAGAATTTTGCTTTACTAAGAGACGTAAAGTGCTTTTTTAAAACATTTGGACAACATTAGCCGGTGACAATATTTAGCAATTATGTTATAAATATATTTAAACATTTTTCTATTTTAATAATTTTCTCAGTGAAACTTCTAATAAAATACACAAATTATTTATCGAATAATAACTCATACAATGCTCATTAAGAAAACTAACTTAAAAATAACAAAAAGATTTTTTAATATTTATTATTTATTGTTATATGATAAATGAAATGCACTCGTAGGCAATTTTTTATATATTAAATAAATAAAATTACAATTTTGAGAATTACATTTTAAAGTAATTATGTAGATTCGTATATTTTGATATCTAATGGCGCATGCATATAATATATGTAACTTTTTAAATCACATCATAAGAATTATTAACTTTTCTTTTTTTATACTTTTTATGATAAAACCAAACGCAGCTACATTCTACCGAATACAGCGCTATTATAAATTACTAAATTTCATTATGATTTAAAAATTTATGATGAAAATTTTAAACTTCGAAACTTGAATTAAAATTGTTTTTGAATAAAATTAGAACAAATTTAACTAATGGCAGGGATAAATCGAGCAAATTACAATTTATCCGTAATAGTATTATAATTGTTGTTTAATTTACATTGTTAAATATCGATATTCAGCTGATTTCGATTTCATATCGGGCTCTGTATTCGTTGGTCATTGTGATATTTTCTTAGAGGTTACAGTGTTTAATAAATAATTGATTAATATTAAGATATAGTACATATTTAAACATTAAAATATTGTTTGAACTCTGAATCTCCTCGCTATAAAGTAAATGAACTAATATGATAATATTTATACTTTTATATTAACACTCGTACAAATCTTGATCGTATTCATTTAAGATGAAAATATTACATAATTTTCATAAATTTTTTTAAACTATATATAATGTAACACTTTCATTAGTAATGTCTTGCATTAAAAAATTATTCAATAAATGTTTTAATATTAAAAGCAAGCAATATTTGAGAATAAGCAAATGTTAATTCTTGAAATTAAAAATCTTCCTTCATTCATGATCTATAACTATTATATTTAACAATTCACAATTTGAAGGTATCAAATTTCTCCAACATTCAAATATATTTGTTATTATCAATAAAATAAAACTTTAAGATTAAATATCTTGTAAATTAATAAAGTAAAGAAATTATTAATTTTCTCTATGCATACAAATCTATTATCTTATATAATATAAAAAAATAACGTATAAATATTTAATAAAATTTAATCTATTGTAACTCTTATTACTTGTAAAGTTATATATATATATATATATATATATATATGCACACACACACACGCATGCACACACACATGTATATATTAATTTTATGTTTTATTTTGATACTAAGAATTATAATACACAGATGGGTGATAAAATAAAAAGACCAAAAATGAGAGGATTTTATCTGCCGTTGGCTATATATCAAGCTTTTTTAGTTCTTCTGGGACCTGTACCATTTGCAGGATGTTTGACAGCCATAACAGTTATAAAACATAGAAATTCTAGAAAATATACTTTGTAATATTATTTGAATAATTTATTTAATATTTTATAAATTTTATGTACTTTATTATTTAATGAATTTTCTTATTTTAGCTCTTACGATTATGAGGAGAAATTAAAACAAGTATGTGAATCAGGTTATATGCAGTCTTGTGGTCCGAATGTAAACTGTTAAATTGAATGTAAATATTTGTCATGTAGTTATTTCAAAATATAAATCACATCTACTATTATCTAATGATGTAATAAATGATAAATTTTAATAATAAAGTAAAAGTCTTACAAGCTTTAACTTTTATTTTAAATAATTCTTATGAATTAAAGCTATTTTTAATTTTATCACTATATTCTATATTTCATAGTATCTGTGAAATATGTTTCATTGCTGAAGAATATTTTAATTTTTCATTCAGTTCACAAGAAGCTTTGATGTTAATTTAAATTTTATATGGATATTATAAAATGTATAAAAGGAAAAATATTATTAAAAAAGATTGCTTCAATTAATTCATGTAAAAAATTTATTTTATTTGTATTAAGAAATTAATAGGTATCATTATATATTTATTAAATGAAAAGTAAAGAAAATTACAATAATTATCAATATTTATTCGAACGTGGATATAGACTCCTCTTGTTTTCTATCAATTTCAATTTTATATGAAATAATCATATATCGGTAATAGAAAAATAAGTGCTATTTAATCAATCAAATTTTATATAATAACGAGAAATAATTAATAATTTTTAACATCTAAAGTTGTTTCTTGTTGGAAAGTAAAGTTTGTGCATCATATGTTCTTATTCCCGATTCTACCAGCAAAAAGTACATACATTTTATCATTTCTTCCATACTATCACAATTATCTGAGCTCAATACTTTGACCAATTCTAGATATGAGTATACTGTTTGCTTAAATGATAACAAAAATTATGATTTTCAATAGTTTTTTCATGTGTCTGGCAATAAACACATGTGTAAAATTAAATATCTCATAGTTACGATTAATATCTGTATAAGATTGACTATCATTGTATAGTGTAATTTTCAAACTCGACTCAAAATAGCTTTTATTTTTAAATTGGAAAATCTTTAATCAATTTTTAAAAAATATATAAAGTTATATGATGTAAAAATGATAACTTTTATCCTTTTATAACATAATCAAAATAATCTAAACATGAATTCTGATATATAAATATCACCATGTGTATTTGCATGTTAAAGATTGCAATTGTAGCATTTTTTTCAACTTCTTATAAAATATGTATCAATAAAAAAGAAATTTGTAAATCGTAAATTATAAAATTATTTTAAAACTAATATGAAATAAATGAGTAATTAGAATTAATGTAATTGAGAAAATATTATATGTATACAAATTATATATAACTATATCCCTATATCTATTGAAATATATTTCAATCTATAAATATAAAGTTTATTTTATTCGATGAAATAAAATGAAATTGTGTTTAATTTCTAAAATGTAATGAATAATATTTAATACGGTATTTTTAATTTGATTATTAATTCAGTACTATTATTATTCAAAAATGGTTTCTAATAATATGTCAATTGTATAAATCGCCAAAATTGTCAATTGGTAATATCATTTTCGACCAATGACGAATGTGATTATGAATGTAGAAATAGACTACAGGTATGACGTGGTTATCTTATAATTTGAATAAATGTTTTTAAAGGCGCGCCAATTTCTTTACAAATTGAAATATGACGATTGTGTGCATGAAAGTCGTAGGATTTGGTGTATAATAAAAGGCTTAGATAATTTATGAAAAGGCAAAGGATCTATATTTATGTTGCTGTATGCAAGTGGATATGTCCCCCATGAACGAGGAAGCGTTAATTCATTGGATTCCCTCTTCTTGACTAACAATGACGTTAAATGTCCGTATGAATTGTGTTCGGAATGTACTCTTCTTTCTGCGGAAACCAGAGGGTAGCCACGCATTCAGACTCATGATGACAATTTCGGAGTCTTCGAGTTTCGGGAGTATTCTCGAGAAATTGCCGCCAGGTGTCGTTACTACGTTGCCTTCAAGTTCCATCTTCCTCTTTCTTTCACCTTTTCGGTAGTTCCACAGGTTGCTTCTCTCTTTCGCTCGCTTGGTAGTACACGGTTTTCCCAGTGTGCCCCGCGCGTTTGATTTGCGCATGTCAGTTGGCTTTACTGCAAATGGCGGCACCTTGTTATTGTCCATGGCGTTTTATGACTTGTCCGCTCATACGTCGGCGATAATGTCGTGTACCATCGGACATCGCGATACGCGTCGCGACGCGCAGAGTTTCTCGTGATCCTGCATCGGAGACGAAGCAATCAAGAAACGTCGCTGGTGAGAACTAAGGACAGCGGTCTCCGAGAAAATAGAGCTCCCGGAGAGATTTACAGACCACTATTCTCTCGTGCTCCTTCGCTCAATCTCTGTTCCTTTCTCTCTCTTTCACTCCATCTCTTTCTCCCTTTCTATCTCTTTAGATATACAATCATTTATGTGTGTTTATGTGTGCGTACATAAATTTGTACTTTACATATGCACGTACGTACGGGCTTATGCATATATGCCTTGCTCGCTTGCTCACCCGCGCCTTTTTGCAAGACCGACAAACGAAACGTGAGTGCGCGTGTGCTTTTCCTTGGAACTTGGAAGAGCATAGTTCCAAGTTATTTGTCTCCTATCTTTATTTTTATTTAATCAATGTCTTTCTCTTTTTTTTTTTGATAACACGCAAGACATTTGGAAGAAAAGGGGGACGACGAAGTAGCAACGCGCTCGCGTGTGTAAATGAATTGAATATATTCTTCTCTTTTCTTCTCTCACTCGTATATTCTCTGTCTTCTTCTCTCCCCGCTCTCTATTATTTCAGTACGTGCGCGCTCCGAAATAAAAAGAGAGAGACAGAATGATAAATATGCATATCCATATATATAAATAAATTTATATAGGCGTATGTATATATAAATATAAATATATATATATATATATATATATATATATATATATATATATATGAGAGAGAGAGAGAGAGAGAGAAAGAAAGAGAGTGTGAAAGAGAAAAAGAGATATGCACATATATTCATGTGTAGATAGTTGATCGCACACGTATATTATACGCTCTCGCGTGTGTATGTTTATATGGGTGTAGCAGTACCAGAAGTGAAGACGGAAAAAAAACGATACCATTCGTTTACATGAGGACCTTCTGCAGATTTTCCATCTGCTCGAGATTAAAAGAATAGCTCCAAAAAGGAGGAGAGTGCTTGTGAGAGTAAGGGAAAGTGCGAGAAGAAGAAATCCATCTCCTTTTTCTTGAGCAAGTAACAAGACGACTTCAACGGCAACAACGACGACAACAGCGGCGGCGACGTTGGATCACAGTGTGTGAAGGACAGAGAGGAGAGAGAGAGAGAGACAGACAGACAGACAGATAGAAAGAAAGAAAGAAGGAACGAAAGAGGGTGCCTC